TATACAGTGACTCTCTAGTCCTTCACCTCTTCCTTAGTCGCTGATTTATCAGTGCATTCAATACACAGTTCATTATGGCCATCTTAAAACATCCTGACTCTTTGTGAGACATTTGTTGCTGCTATCTCGAGCCTTCAGCCTTTGCACCTGTACAACAGCAACTGCTGAAGTTCAATTCTGTGGTTCCAAAATTTGCCAAGCAGTGCTTATGACCTTGGCAGAAATCTGTGGGGTGACGCAGAGCATGAAAGAATCACTGGGTCAGCTGGAACAGTCCTATGCTCTGTACTGAGGAAACGGTAAGTTTAAAAAGAAAGCTTCTGCAACATTGAAAGAAATGAATAAACAGCTTTGCGCGGGATTTGCTCCCTGATCGATGTTTGAAACGGCTTAGTGTTTAAATACAACGCTATCACAGAACTTGCAGCAAAACGCCTCTGGAGAAGAGCTGGAGTCGCAGGTAAGGAGCAGAGCCCGCTCGTTGCCGGGTGCGAGGGCGGCACCGTCCCCGCACGGGGAGCTCGCCATGCCCGCTGCTACCGGGGGGACGCGGGGCTCGCCCAGCACCAGGGCCAGCGCAGCCACATGGGGCAGGAGGAGCGGCAGCCGCGGAGCGCCGGGCGAGCGCAGCCCGTACCTTGGTGAGGTCAATGCCGGAGCCCACGATGGGCAGCCCGTCCTCGTCCATGCCCGCGGGCCGCGGCGGGCGCAGCCCCGCTCCGCAGCTCGGCCGCGCTCCGCAGCTCGGCCCGGAAACAAAACCCGAGCGCTGCGGGGCGGGGCTGCCCCGCGCTTCCTCCTGGGAAACGCAGTCCCGGGCCCTCACGGCCGGCTGTGCCCCGGGATAAACCCCGAGCGTAAAGCCCGAGCTTCTGGGGTGCCTGCTTCGGCACCCGCCTTGCCGTGCAAGTGCTGGGAGGCGCTGAGGGGCCCGGCCATGCCGGTGGCGGTGACACTGACACCCGGCGCTGCACAGGCCTCAAGACGTGGCCCTGCCTAGCGGTGCTCGGGAAGTGTCGTATCCTGCGGTCAAACAGCAAGGGAAGAATGAGAAAAGCCAGTGAAGGAACTGTTCCTGTGCTCAAACGCATAATTGGAGTGGGGAAGTGCCACACTTTAGATGTGGGAAGTAAAAATAAGGAGTACGGAATGTTCCTGGGCTTTTCTGAAAAAGACAAATATGGGGTGGAGTCCCTGTTTACAACAGTAAATCCAAATAAATTGTAGTAGATTTCCATATTTAATGGAAATTCTCCATGGTTACATCTAAAAACTGTTGCATTTAATAAACCCTCCTAAATTCAGGGCAGTTAAGGAACCATCTTAGTCTGAGGCTGTCAGGTGGAAACTTCTCTTGTGATGAGATTAATAGAGACGCAGTAATTATTGTAATACTTTGAAGATTAGACCCCAAATGTACTATACTAATTTTGGTTTAAAATTTACCAAAATTCCCCGTTTACTTCCAAATCATTACAGTTTGCTAAAGCGTTCTAAAAATCCATATACAGACTCAATGGTGGCTATACACAGCACTTCGTTCTGTTACTCAAGTTGCCATAAAACTCTCATTTATTTACTGAAGCAGCTTTTTTGGACTTTATTACTTTCACAATGAATCTGCTGCCATATGCACAATATTATTACTCTCTTACTAAGATAGTATAGCAAAGATTTTGTCCATATTAATTGAATTATTGAACAACCTGTGATTCATACTCTGCTTTGGAGCACTGACATGTTGTTGGCTCAATTTCTCACCTCTCCCAAAGGAAGAGCAGCAGGCTAACCTACAAAATTCAGTGGGTTTAGCTTTCAATTCTTAGCTTACAGGAGTTGTGCAAATTTGTCTTGAGCAATGGAGCTGTTTGTTTAACTTATTTTTTCCACCTTAATTACCTTAAAATTCCAACTAAATTGCATTTGAGAAGATTTAATCTCATTTATCATAAGTGTCTATAATACAATCTTTCCAGGCAATGGCACTGAAAATTTATGTAAATGCATAGTCAGATCTTATCTGAATGTCTTGGTCTGTAAAGCTGGATAAGAAATCTTCCAAGAATATGGTCTTACTGTGAACTTTCTGGTACTTCCTACTTTTAATTTGCCCAAAAATACTGCATAGAAAAGTGCAACACAGCACTTTTTTCCTCCCAGATGGAGTTAAGAAATGCAGGGCGTGAAAAGTGAAAAACAGAGAATGGAGGAAAATGATCCAAATTTTCCAAAACCTCTTAAAAAAACTTTTAATTTAACTAACTTGTTCAGTTGTAAATATAATGACTGAACTCCCATGGAGAAGATTTATAAAAAATAATTGAGTGATAGATAACATGCAGATTTATAGTGTGTACAATTTGAAAATGTATTTTTTACCAGCACCCATGCTGGATGATGAATGTCAGACTGTACAGTATTTAACTGCTGGCAGTTTATGTATGTGTACAATATATATGCTGGCATTAAAGGCCCTGTCATGTAGCTCCACCTTCCAGTGAAGGAAAAGAGATTAAAGAGTGATTAAGAGTTACCAAAATGAAGTTTGGTTGAACATCAGTATCTTGAAGCTGTCAACTTTCCAGATGCTGAGGCTAACTTGGAGTGAGAAATCTGTGTGCACAGAAAACTGATCAGAGCTCTTTCTTCACCATTAGTAAAAAAATACCTGACTTGTGATTAGGGTACAGAGAAAAGTAAAGGCAAGAACGCAGGTTTCAAAGCGTTGAAACTGATCTGCCCCATGTATTGCACATAATCGGAGCCTCGGGTCAACCGCAAAACAAAACTGCACAAGCTGAGAAAAACTGGCAAGTGCTACTGTAGCTTACAATGTTCATATGCATCTCGTGTGCTTATATACTGTTACAGGTCCCACGACACCACATTCAGGTTAGAATCAGCCCAGAACTCAAATAGCTATACAACTGAGAGACAAGTTAAACAGAAACAAAAAGCTGATCCAAAAAAATTTCCAGACATGGTGTCACCTGATCCTCCACAAGGGGAATAGTTGTTTTAATTAGGTGGTCCGATGAACAACTGAAAAGATCACTGTGGATTAACATTTGCTTGATTTCCCATAGTCTTCTAAATCCATGCTTGCAAAGGGTATTCTAGTAGTTTTCTCTATGAAACTGATATTGCCTCAATGATTTTTCTCTACACTGAATTTGTACAAATCTTGCAAGCAGTTCAGAGAATTATCGACCTTTCCCAGTTAAATAGTCTGAGAAATACAAATGTTAGGTATTATGTAGATTAAAAAAAAAAAAAAAAAAAGAAAAGAAAACTAAATGATAAATGGTTTGCAGTTCTCTGAAAATGGTTTGTCAAGTTTCAGTTTTCCAACTACTTTTCTAAGGTAACATGAGAGGATTAACTAATTATTTTGTTCTGTACAAAATAGCATGGAGAACATGCTAAAAGCATTAGCTGCTCTTCCTCATTTATTTATTTATTTTAAATATCCATATTAGTTTTTTCCAGTATAAAATGAAGAGCCTTGAATTTGGCAAGATCATTCCTGGGTAAACAGTTTTAAGTAATCCTTAAGAACAGAGTATAAACAGCAAACATCCTGGTTTCTGAATTAACTACAAAACAATAGAATTTCTGTCCTTTGCTCTCTTGGGTCTTAAGCAATTCTAAACCAAAAAAGTCTCACTCAAGAGTGCACTTGCACATACCAGGTGCAAATTGCCCTTGTCGGTATGGGCCTGATTATAGTGGATATATTCTGCATAGGCATGAGCTGTGTGAAGTTTGAGGACTGAAGAACCCATATCGGTTTCAGTTTCACTACACAGCAAAAGGATAACAGTGCCTCAGGCCAATCCTTCCTCACAGATTTTTAGCTACAAGTGAATTAAACCTCCCCTTAAGGCTGCTATCTCTGGTCACACAATGGATACAAGATAAGCAGAGCGCTGTTGTCTTGAAACATCTGCTTATTTTACAGTTTAGGCACACACCAGTCCACTGGAACATAAAAGGAACTTTATATTCATGTTAGGTAAATTTTGGTGGCATCTGGAAAGCAAAAGTTCTCAAGGATAAAGCATTATGATAAATATAATATGGTCTTCAAAAGGTGACTGTAATCTCACTTACTGATGTCCTGCTTCTGAACTGGTTTTATGTGTCCCACATAAATAGGAACAAACAAAAGAATATTTTAAAATCTAACTACAGCTCTTAAGGATGGCTATGATGCTGTAAGGAGCTGTTACACTAGCTGAAACATCCTGACATCCCTTCACTTGCAAAAGCATGCAAAAAAGATACTTAAGATAGGAGTTATCTCTGTCTTCTTTTACCTCAGGTCTTGTATGGGAAGGACAGAAAAAATAAGTTTCTAGAAAGCAGAATGCCTTTGATTTTCCTGTAAAGACTGGAAGTAAAAGGCTGTAAGCAGATACGCTGTTTGACAGGCTTGAAGTAAATCTCTCTGGCATCTTTAGAGAAATAAAACTGCTACAAATTATCATTCTGATTTATTTTACCATTAGCTTCTTCACTAGTAGTGATAACTAGTTTATTCAAAAACGTCCAGGAACAACATTTTATGACAGTACACTATTGCATTATATTTTTTCTTATAAGATAGTCATGGTTGGGAACATTAATATAGAGAGGTGGTTCTTTCTGTAGGTACTCTGCACAATTTCAGATATTTGAGCTGTGTTAACTGAGTGAGACTGTCAGACTGAGATGTTGGGACACAAAATCTCTTTAAAAACCCACTAAAATTAATTTCATAGCAAATACGATGTTTAAAAAGTACATTTTATTTTAATAGAAACAACTAAGAACTGGATGTATGATAATCAATTTTACAAAAGCTCTTGTACTTTCAAGCTAAAAATAAAACACAAATGATTCATATCTTGCTTGCTTCTTTCTTCTGTTGTCCAAGTGAAAACCATTACAAAGAGTAAGATTCTTCGTTTTACTAGAAAAAAGGCATTATGCCATCAAGTTTCATATTGAAGGCAAATGCTTATTTTACATTTCAGTAACCCAAAAGAAAATTTTATGGTCTCCTCCGACTGCACATAATGGAAGAGTTCTGTGCCATGTCAAACCTGATCCTACAGCTGCAGTTCCAGTAAGAATGGGCTTTAAAAAAAACAAAAGAGAGAAAAATATCAATACAACTTCCCTTATAAATGATTTCTATACTGCGGACACCAAGTTGCATAGACAAATAAACACCACAGATTAAATGCTCCTCAATAAATATAGTTAAAATACAACAGAAATTCTACTGAAAAATGTGATACTCAGCTACATAGTTGCAGTAGCTACTGACTACATTTAAGTAACATGCAGCAAAATAATCCCTAATAACAAATAGTTTCAACTCTTTACATTATAACATGTATACAGGTATAAACACTAGTATTATAAACGCACGATCTCAAACTTAGAAACTTTTAAAACTGAAATTACTTCTAGTTATTTCAATGTACTCATAACTAGTATGTTTGGAGGTAATATTTTTACTATAAGCATTACAAATACATACTGACTCCAGCAAAACCAAAATATTTCCTATGCTTTGCATTTTCATTAATGATTTAAAATATAATTAGTTAAAACCAGAAAAATACACCATTAGGTGTTTTTAGCCTCCTTAGAACTAGAAATATTGCCAGATTTATTAAATATCAAGTTAAAGGTGTTTTTTTCCCCTTGGAAGTAATATGGCAAAGCAAACTAAAACGTAGAGATCAAGCAGCTTTTAAAATAGCAGTTTAAGTGTGCAGCAATCTTTTTTCCTTAGCATGAATGCCACAAACCAAAATAAAATAAAATAGGTACACCAAGCAGCAGTTTCTGGATGGTTTGGGCTAGTTTTTAATTATGAGTCTGATCTGAGGAGAACAGATGTAACTCCAGTCAAAAAATTTACCTGGGGATGTCCTAAATGATGAACCAGCAATTGAGTAGTTGTCTTTCCTGGATATCCAGTGGTTGCAAACAGATTTTCATTCACTCGGGACCACCTATGAATAAAATGAATGGACTTTCCAAATACCCCTGTCATACCAGCAGAAGGGCACTAACTGTTTGAAGATGTCACATATTCTACTAACAGCAGAGAAACAGATTTAGTGAATTAGCTTGCAAATGATTCCCCACCCACCATATGCACAGTGTTGTAAAACAAAGTATCACATGAATGCCACACATATATACTAAATGTGGGTCATTCACAAATTTCACATAGTTTGTAGGCCCAGTCCTGCTAAAAATGACTTAAGTGAGACACAGTCAGGTTACTAGACTCACAACTGTTTGCACAGACATAGATTTAAATAGATAAACCCCACAAAATAGAGACAACATTTATACCTGAATAATCTGGCTCGATCAACATGGACAGGTCTCTTATCCTGTGGATAACTAAAACAGACATTCAGAGTAAAAACCGTTCTGCAAAAAACTACAGCTCATACTATAAATAGAAAAGTACAGTGAAGAGAACACATTGTCTACTCTCTGTTAAGCAGCTGAGGGAAAACCAGAGCACCCCTGCAGCTTGAATCTCAATTTGGAGTGGGAAAAATGAAGTAGTTGTCTATGACATAGAATCAAATTTTAACAAACACATACAGTGAGAGGTAAACAGTAGTGAGATGCTATCTCAAATGGGCAAAAAGGCAGACAATGTTATAACTTTAACAGAAAATATTGCTAAAGATGAAACAAAGAATACCATTGGATGATCTGTATCAATATCGTAATTGCTGATAATTGTTCATTTATTTAACTTATGCATGGGGCCTACAAAGATGAGTATGGGGCTGGAGCATCTCTTACAAGGAAAGGCTGGAGGAGCTGGGCCTGTTCAGCCTCAAGAAGAGATGACTGAGAGGGGACCTCACCAATGTCCATCAGTACCTGGAGGGAGGGTGTCAAGGGGATGGAGCCAGGCTCTGCTCCGTGCTGCAAGCAATGGGATGAGAGGTGATGGGCACAAACTGATGCACTGGAAGTTCCTGAACGTGAGGAAGAAATTCTTTATTCTGCAAGTGACCAGGCACTAGAACAGGTTGCCCAGAGAGGGTGTGGAGTCTCCCTCATTGGAGATATTCACAATCCTGTGCCTTGTGCTCTAGGATGACCCTTCTTGAGCAGGGAGGTTGGACCAGAAGACACACTGTGGTCTCTTCCAGCCTGACCCTATTGTGGTTCTGTGACTGCCATGCTCTATTAGCCAAGCACCTGCATTTCCTCATGTACTGATTAGGAAGAGAATAAAGAAACCTACCCCATGGATATAAAAGTACCTGGAGCGAGTGATATCCCAGATCAGCCAATCGTTTCCAGCAACTGCTCCAATTTTAAGAGTATTTTTTAAACACCAGTCTGCTGACATCAGTGGTATTTGTTCACACTCCAGGGAGAGAATGGCTTGCTGTGTAATCAGGTCATAGAATCGTATTGTCCCATTCTTCTCTGCCACCATCAGCTGTTAACAGAAATTCATAGAATGTGGTAAACTTAGCATGTAATGGAAATTAAATTTTGAAATGCAAGCAAGGTTTCCCTGAAGTCTTAGGTATATATTTATGTAAATGTTTTATATGTATAGATTAACATACTCTTAAAATCTGATTGCACATACTGAAACTGCTGTTCAATAGTTGAATGTTTTCCACGTGACCCCCGTGGCGTCAGGTGGGCACAACCCCCCTGGGCACATGCCCCCCTAGGTGTCACTAAATGAATACTAAATGATGTACAGTTTTTCACTTCATACCAGAAAACCTTCTCCTGGACACTCTTTAGCCAATAAATAAAAACTACCTTAATCTATACTGCTGTTACACTGTTATACATAATGATTACATTATTTTATTTTTATATATCTATAAATAGCTATATGTAAAATTTTGGTGATTAGAAACATCACAACCACCAAAGCAATGTGCTTTTATACAGCAAAAATTTATTGTTTTAACATTCAACAGCTTCTGTTCTGAGTACAAAGGACTGACACAGTGCTGTAAAAAAGAAAGGGTTGTCAAGCACTTGAACTGCCAGGGAAGCACTTGGGCTGCCCAGGGAAGTGGTGGAGTCACCATCCCTGGAAGTGTTCAAGAAATGACTGTATATGGCACTTAGTGCTACGGTTTGGTCGATATGCTGGTGTTCATTTAAAGGTTGGATTCGAGGATCTTAGAGGTCTTTTCCAACCTAAATCATTCCAACCTATCATTCTAAGAAAGTATTAATTAGTGTGGCTGTAGAATCTGTAGAATTACTCTTACTGATTTTATATAATATCTCTTACTTCATCCTGTAACAGTTTGCAACAGATTTTATCTACTTTTTCCATTAAAGTAATACACTCAAGCAGTTGTTTTTTAAGTATTGTAGAAAGAGCTTCCTGATTAAATTATAGAATCATAGAAGGATTGGGTTGGAAGGGAACTTAAAAATCCTCTAGTTCCAATCCTCTGCCATGGGCAGGGACACCCTCCACTAGGCCTGATTGCTCAGGGCTCCATGCAACCTGGTCTGGAACACTTCAAGGAGTGAGCCTTCACAACTTCTTTGGGCAGCCCATTCCAATGCCCAGATGATGAAATTAGATTTTTCTTCATTCTTCATGAGGAGAAATGGTTTTCAGATAGTGATGAACAGTAATTAAGAAAGTCAAAGAAGCATAAAAAATACTCCACTGATACCAGTTTGTTTGGAAAAACAGAACTGTCACCAAAATCATGCTTTCCTGCAAACTAAAGGTCATGGTGAAGTAAGCATTTTGACCTGCGATAAGCTTTTCAGCAAGAACTAAGTCTATCAAGTTTTATGAGCTTTTGGAATGGGCTTTATTTTTAAAATAAAAAACAAACAACAAAATATCCTGTGCCTGTCTTTGATAATGGTCAAAGAAAAGACATGCTAATAATATGTAAGACTGGCGTAATACTGTAGTATTTTTGGGAAAACCTATTAATTTTGTTGAGCTAACAAAGTTGCCCAGTAGCAAACAGCAGCTAACCCATTAAATTCTGATGCCACCTGAATCAACAGTTTTCCTAGTTTACAGTTTCCTTTCTTAGTAAGGACGGATATTGATGTTGGTGGAAATCATGAAGAGATTAGAGATCCTTCTTCCCTATTGCTGTGTAAATATTTTGATATCTTACTTGACTGCTTTTCTCTGTTTTAAGTATGTGTTTTTGTGGTAACCTGAACAACCATTTGTAGCTGCTTAAAGCAATTATTGATAGGCACAATAGGAATAATAAATCCAAGACTGCAGGGACTAGACCATTAATGAAGCTGGATATTTGGGTACATACCAGCTGATTAATCCTCCCCAGTACAAATAACGAGATAAGTTTAAAATTGTCTATTGATTTGATTTTTCAGAACATATTTCATACACTTCAAGCAAGAACAACAAAAAAGTCCCTTGTTAACCTCAAGTAGATACTTTTCAAAGCTTGGCAAGTTCTATAAAGGGTCTGTATTATTGGTGAACCGTGTTACCACGACTGAGAAAAACTTGAGCTCTTCTCTGGTAACTGTCAGTTAATATGCAATCAGCAGAATAGTTATCAACAACTGATGTACATAATCAAGAAGGAATATTTCTGATGGGAGGAGTAAGGGACTGAGGGTAAAATGACAAGAATGGCAATGAGAATTCATTTACAGTCATTTCACATTAGCAGATCCAACTAATATCCAGTTATAGTGTAAACTAGGTCCCCAAACTTCAATGTGACTACACCATCAAAGATTCATACTTTAGGTGTGTCTCCCCACCCATTATTTTAGAGGTAATAAGGGCAAAAAGCTGAAAACCACAACCTTAAAAGCCTCCTCAGGATGCCAGCAAACACTCATTCCAGGAGAACGTAAAACAAAATGGGCCTTCTCATTTCCTTCCAAATCCCAGACCCTGGGGAGAAAAGAAAGAAAGAAAGAAAAAAGTAAAGTACTAAACTATTGCCATTGACTGCAAATACATTAACTTTCAGTGCCTTGCTACGTTCACAGAGGAAGTGACCAAATGAAATGGTATTCATGCTGTATCATTTGAAGGTCAGTGAAAGTAGCCAGTGCTGCAGATCAGAGCCTCTATTTAATTATTCAAATAATTTGATAATTTAGTTCTCTAGACATGAAATTTCAGTGAGATGTTCCCATGTTTTCATAACTCAAGACTACAGCTTTGTACTGTACCATAAATAGCAACGAGGCAGTAGAAAGCAGGAAAGTCACTGTTGGTCCAGTTGATACAAGGAACCTAAAGTGAGGTACCAAACAAATCATCCAAGTTACCATGCAAAGGGCAAGACCCTTTATTGAAGTATTTTGGCTGCCTAATATAAGAGTTTCCCGTATTTCCTGGTAAGACAAGATTGAGTAATGGAAATATAAGAAACCAGAAAGGAAGCTAAATCAAACAGAAGGATGTGTGGCAGAGGTAACACTAGCCAACAAAGGGTCTTGGAGAGCTTTCAATAGATAAATCACATGTGCCAGTTTAACCTTTTCCTTTAGAAACACCTACAGTACATATCTGGCAGCTATAAAAATTTAAAATTTTCAACAGTATTTGGTCAATATGGATTGACAGGAAAGTGTACGCTGAAACACCAAAACTAGGTTAGGTGATGGGTGAGTTTTCTTTGGATGTGTTCAATATGAGTGGTAATGAGCCATGGAGCTACTTTATTCCTAAAATGCAACAAAACCAAAACTGAGCCTATTTTACCTCACAGCCACTGCTCATCTCCCTCTTTTCCTACAAAACTGATAGCTTAGTTGTAGAACAAAAACATCACAGTTGTGAACATCAGTCTGAACCACAAAGCTACATATTATTTATACACATTTGGATACTGAAACATATACATATATCCTTCCTCTCTGAAATGCAAAACTTGAGAAACAGCCAGTTTTTAAAGTAGTGTTTTGGTGCCCAGTCTTTTGAGCTAGATGAGTGGCTACGTACTATTATTGTTTATTCTAGAGGATTTTTGCTGACTTCCTCCAGACTTTCTCAGTTTATATCTCACCAGGGTGCTTAGACCCTTATATTTAAGAGATTTAAAAAAACTCTTAACTAATACATCATAAGTCTAGACAAAATATATGGGAATAAAGTAAATATATTTAATGAACAATGTTGTTTTCTTATGCCAAACCACAACAGATCAAATATTTGTTCTCCCTGTAGAAAACACAGGGTCTCTAATCTTGAAGAATCAGTGTCCTTACTAAAAAAAGTCAAAACAAAAACCTGACAAGTGTTTTAAAAATGAAATATCTACTTGATTAGGTAATTTAGAAACATACAATACTTTCTTCTACTGCCAAAAATTTTGCCTTGTAGATTTGTCCAAGTCAAATCAACACTTCCCATGTGTATTTACTGTGCAGGGAGAAAATTATGATACAACTGAAGATGGTGAATCATTTTGGCAAAAGGAATATGCCATTATGTTTCCTTTCCTGAAGTGAGTGATGTTATTAGGTGTTGAGACAGAAATTTATGCTTTTTACCTCCATAACTTTGTTATTTATAAAGTTAACAAGTTTGTACTTTTACTTTGTAAGAACGGCAGGACTGTTAGTAAGAAACAGTATGGGGAGGAGAAGGGATAAAAGCCTCTTTTATATTTTCTTTATTGATACCAAAGATGATATTGTTGGGAAGGATGAAAGTTTAACAGAAAAGTTTTACAGATATACAGAAGATTCTACAGAAATGAAAGCAAGTTTTGACATATAAAAGATGCTTTTAGGCCCAGTTGTTGCTGAAATAGCTGAAAGAACAAAGGTTTAGTCGAGTTGGAAGGAGTTTTATAACTAAAGTCCAAAGACTAAGTGGCCTTGAAACAAAAGGATAAGTCTTCCTCAAATAAGGCATGTTTTCTACCAAGCAAAAAAGCATAGGCAGACAGAAAGATGTTTTTACCAAAGCTAGAAGACATTTCCACTGCACAACAAGTCATAAAGTTTAACATGTAACTACTAACTCAGATGATTGGCTAGTCACTAACATAATATGGTAATTTTAGCAGTTTTGATAGGTTATATGTAAATGTAAAAGGTATTGTGTATGATGTTGATTGGTTGTCATGTAATAAGATGCACAGCAGAGAAAGAGATATAATGCTTTGTAACATGAATAGAATTGGGCTTCAGGACACACGGCTTGCCTACAGCCAGCAGCTATAGACTCACTCACAACTCTCAACTGCTGTAACTTCGTCTATGCAATAAACAGCATTTTAAGAGCTGTCTGAAGTCTCCATCTCTCTGTCAGGCTCTTACATGATATAATTTAGTTTTGGGGAAAAAAATCCCCAAAACCCTCAAAACACAATCCAGGCAATACATATCAAGATAGATCCTTGCCTGAGTGCATCATGTCTATAGAATTACATGTGTGTTTTCAATATTTCTTTGTGAAAAACCCAAGTAAAAAATGTGCAAACCCCAAAAATTTAGCCAAACTGATTTTCAGTTCCTAAATTACTCAGGAATCATAACTAAATCAGCTACAGATGCTGTCCTCCCATTTTGTCCACATTCCTATCACGTAAATCAATCCAAAAAGACAGGATTTTCCATTCAAAGCTCTTGAAACTTTACTAATACTCCCATGATTTTATACCGAAGTAAAATACTGTCTATTTTTCTCCAATTATCCTTATCTTTTGTAATCCTGCAGTGTGTTACTCTCTTACTTCTCCTTCTCTTCCAACCATCTTGGTATAGATGTCACTTGTCACTGAGCTTGGAGTATTTTTTTCTGATATTAAAAAAAAATTCCACAAAAATTTTATTGGAGAAAAGTTTGAATAAACACAGTTAAAGTAAGTACCCAGGTTTGATTAATGTATAGTCTTAAAAATAACATGGAATCTTCTCAGTAAAATAATTATTTTTTAAGTAACTAAAACTGAGAAATTATTTACTTCAGTACTAAGAAAATTTAAACTAACTCCAAGACAGGTAGTTGCAAATGCTGCTAAACAAAATTCTTGAGATACTAGTACCTTTCTCTTGTTACTCAAATCCTGTAACTAACAAACAAATGAAAACTGCTGTTATCTTATAGCTTGAAGATATTAAAATTCCATTGCATCAACTATATTATATTTCGTAGGCATGAATATGGATGCATATGTGCAGCAATTTCATCATACAGTTGACTTTTTTTACAGCTGGAAAAGTACCTCATTAGAACTCTGAAAACTTGTAGCAATGGAGATGATCCTTATTTTATTTTCTAATTTTCTGAATTATGAATAATTCTAACTAGCAGAACCAACTGCTAACTGGACAAAAATCATCACTTGCAATAGTAAAAGAACTAAACCAGATTGCAATCTTCAGGCATTTCTCAAATCCCCAGAAGATAGAAGTAAAAATGCACATTCTTCAAATAAAAGATTTCTAACAGTTTTAGCGAGTGGGTGGGGGCTAGAAGGAAACTTGACATCTGATTCCCAACCACAAAGCACGATCAACTATACTTGATCCATTTCTCAAAGATTACTCCTGTCCAACATGGTTTTGTTGTGGTTTTTTTTTAATATCTAAATTTAATACATTTATTTACATCTCCATCAGATGTATTCCATGGAAAATCCTATCACTTTTGAAAAGCCTAGAGGACAACAGGGCAAGATTCCTGTTCCTGAGATCACATAACAAAGGTGTTCCTCACAGAGCATGAGGAGTGAGGAAAAGATTGCAGAAAAGGAACATGAAAGTGCAGAGATTAGGAAATACTGCAGAGAATACAACCAACTGGCTTTCTCTAAGATCTTCTGCCAACTCCATATGGATTTGGCTATCACAGATCTGGAGGGTACTAGGCAGGACATGAAAGGCTGAAGTGGAACTGTGGAAATTCCTCTGTCTGGTCAGAAGAAGAGAAAGGTGTAATATTCAAGATAATTTCTAGTAATTTATTTTATTTTACTGACAAAGAATTTAAGTTTTTATGAAGTCTTTTCACAGAGGAAATGTACAAATATTCTTTCAGAAAGCTGACCCATGTTCACCATTTTCTTTTGGTAATCAAAGGAAATGTCACTGTACCTAAAGAATTAGCAATAGAGTATTTTGGATCTTGGCATTAAAAAACATGTTATCTCTAGCTTCTTGTAATATCTACTTGGATATGCCAGCATTGATCTATTTCTCACTGCTAACTGTGGGCTGCAGTTCTACCCTTCAGTGTTGGTAGAGATGCAGTGCAGTATCTCCCCTTCACTCATACACATTTCAGGCCACACACACAGAACTAAGTCCAAGAAATACACATTTCTACTACTACTACTGAAATACCTTTAGTTATCTAATGCAAAACCAGAAACCATGCAGTATTTTTGAAAAAAATGTGAAGCTTCAGTTCTGTCCTTTCATTTCCTTTAAATGGATGTTAAAAGCTATCAGTTTGTTGTTCCCAATGTAGATATAAAACTAAATGCTTCTGTGATATGACTGCTACTGAGAAACTCAACTACCAATTCTGTTGATGGTTTTCTAAAGTAGAAAACTTCTAAACAAATCTAATGCAATGATTTCTATTTAGAAAAAATTTATAGGCTAGACTACATTCTAGGGCTGTGTGACTCTTAACATAAGCCATAATGTGTCACAAAGTAAATTACTACATCATCCTCATATTTTGAAGACTTCCTAACTAAAAGTTTAAGACCAGACTGAAATAATGTTCCAAACATTTGATCTTGCACTGTCCAACACCACTTGGTTAGTACTTGCATAGTGGCTGTACAATGTAACAGAATTGTGTAAGACTACATTTAGGGAACATAGAGGGAATGCATACAAAAAGTGTGCAAATTCAAAGACTGGACTGAAAAAAATTCAAGACTTCTTTATTTTCATAAATTATTATGCAGAACTAGCTTGATAAAATGTAACTAGCATACTTCAGAAATATTTTGGTATGACATTTCTTATATGAAGGGACACCGGAAAATCCAATCATACAAACAGATGAAGAAAGAACAACATGAAATAAGACAACGTTTATAAAAATTCTGACAGGAATCCATACCTGACTGCACTAGGAGTTGGAAGATGCAAATAGAATACGGTTTTGGAAGCAGAAATAAGTGATAATGACCAACTGAAGACTGAAATATTTATTGAATAAACAAGGTAAGATTCAAGTGCAACGTGTGCTGGCAAAAAATTAAAGAAAACAAGAACAAAAAAAAATAAACAGGATTTACCATTAGCATTCCTTCATATTGTCTGGAGAAAAATCTACACAAAATAGAGCATGAGACTACCATGTAAAAAAATACGCTACAGATAAACCCCCCTAAAACCAGATGAAACACTAGAATATATTCTAAGACTCTAGTTAATTTAGCTTTCAGTGACATCAAACCTTTCCCCCTAATCCCTGTTTAGGGAGCAAAACTAACCTTCTCATGGACTGGCATTTATTTTACATGCAACAGAGGAAGATGAACTTCAGTGACTGATAAATTCACATAGTCCTCTATGAAGTGATGTGAGCCATGGCCTAAGGAAATGAACAGAACTCTGAAAGGACTCAAAGGATCTGACACTGTCAGTAACCTTTCAGTTCCACCTGAGGAGGGAGTATAAGGTGATTATTAATCAGACTGAATTAACCTTTTGACAGTCAAGAGGTTCATTTTTAGCATGGATATGAGATTAGTGGGTTTTGACAGGATGGTATTTTGCATTAAGTAATTCCAGAAACATATTAGATAGTGTCTATAACCACCAACAGCAGAGGGGGTCAGTTGAACTCATGCTATTTTCCAAACATTTCCCACAATTTTTGGGGGAAATTTTTATTAAGTATCAGAACAAAATGATTTGTATATCTGAATCTGTGCAGACTCCTAGACTGTATTTCCAAATCACAATGAAAAAGCCAGTAATAATTTTTTGTTTGAAGAGTGGTGCACAGGGAGTCGTACACACACAGATCTCATTAAGAAAGTGGGATGCACGCATTCCTACACTTAATGCAAAGAAGTGTATAATGACTCACTATTTCAAGGAATTCAATGAAATATTCTTTAAAGCTATCACAACACAGATGACCACTGGAATTATTTTTATTCGAGAGCATTTTTAGTCCAGTTCTACTTCACAGCTGCAAAAAAGTTTATAGTTGTGAGATCAAGGTGCAAGAAGTAACAACGTTTCCTGAATAACACAGCAGCAATTTGTAGGTAAGAACATTAGATACAACCAGTATCCAACTTACAGTCTGTCCTTCAACCAAAACGACTGAACTCCACTCTGAGATGCCACAGTTGCAGCAGCTCATGGCAAGACTATTTAGTGGATGAAAACTCAGTCTCACTTCCTTAGAGGTCTCTGATGAACTTAAACCTACACTTTGTCTTGAGTGAAAACCAGGGAAGACTGAACCATGCTTGTATATATTCAGTAAATACTGAAAAGCTGTTTTAAAACTTTATTAAGACTTAGAAGTGGAACTCAAGACTTGTTCTAGAGCTTTATTCCACAGGCATTAGCAGATTTTGTATCCTAAGAACAATTTCAGGATAGAAATTCAGTACAGACAGAAGAATTATTCCTCTTCTTACATTACTACTGAAGCAAATTACAGAGTAAGTAAAGAATGATTTTGGTAAGTCCCAAGGAATGTATTTTCCATTCGTTTTGAAAGTGTAACCTTTAAATTCAATAGAAAAAGTCTTCATGCCCCACATGCATGAATGGAAAAAATAAGAACTCAAGTAGCCAAAAAAAATCCTACTTATTTCCCATGGCTTTTAACCAAAGACTTTATGGTTTATGGCATAAAATGTCCTTCACAGTTACTAAGCTGAAATCTTAGTGTATATTAATTACATAAATTTTATTTCCTTTTAAATTAGTATCAATTAGACAATTGGTTTTAAAACAGTTTTCTGTATCCCAGGAAAAGGCCACAGAGTCAAACAGTTTTTTGCTGAATAAGCCAAATACGAGTTTAGATTTAACAACAAAATCACGGATAGGAAAAAACTCAGAAGAAGATACAGGTAAGTCATACATTTCTACTATTCATTCCTACTTTGTTGGAAATATTGACCAGACATCTATGGAAAAACTGCCTACTCAGCAGAGTAAAGAAAGTCAAGGATGATGCTTTTCCAACTCTCTTGCTGCTCTACTGTGATGACCTGAAAAGCCTGCATAGCTGCCCTCCTGATGTCTCCAACTGTACTGGAGGGGTAAGAAGAGCAGCTCAGAAGATTCATGCACACTACAAGTAGAAGATGGGTGACCTTTTGACAAGGACAAACTCCTGCATCAAAAACCTTGACTCAGCATGCTTCAAAGCATTAAACCGTGCTTCCCTTCTACTTCCGCTTATAAATATCCAAGCACCTGGATTTGAAGCAGCTGTAATCATGGTATTTTGAGCTGCCAGTACCACTGTATTAGGATGGTGCTGTCTTCAGGCTATGTCACCCCACCCCCTGGTAAGGCTAATACATTTTGGTAAATGGACAAGTTCACATATGTATGCCGGTTTTAAACTTGACCCTGATGACAGAATACATAAAAAGGGTCTGTGTAATTCACTGCTGAGCTATGCATATCTTTTTTTTCCTATCCCAGAAGGGGGAAAATAGTGTATGCAAATCCAAGACAACAGTCTCCTTCATTTTGAATCTAGCTGGTTCAAAATATTGCTTTGAAAAAAGATGACACACAAATCACAACAAAAAGACAGTCCACAACTTAAGTTAACAAGAATAGCTCATTTCTCATCTTGTTAGTGGACTAGTCTTGTTAGAAGGCCATGAAGACACACTAAAATAAAAATATAAATGCTTATTTAAGTGGACATATAAAACATTCACAGATAGAAAAAGTCATAGTTTTGGAATAGTGTTTTGAAGAAAATGCATACCTGCAGGTGTGATCATCACTTACACTTGCAATTTCTTGACCTTCGTTGGGAGCAAAGACCAGATCATTAATGTAATCTGAGTGGCCATCAAATATCTGCCAAGCAGAAAAGAGAAACACTTTTACCTTAGAGCTGACTGTTCCACCAATGTACTTAACAGACCTGCTAATGGAAAGATGTGTTTCAATTAGTGGAAGGTGAAAAAAGTTTTTATCGGTAACTGGATTTCTTTAAAGTACCTAATCCATGTGTAGATTCATACTGCAGATGAAAAGACCTCCCCCCTCCACTACTCCTTGTAGTTACCACAGAGGTCATTTTGATGCTTTTGCTTGACAGAGATCAGTGAATCACACCAGAACTTTTAATCATTTTTTCAACCACAGAATTTTGAAGGTAGAAGATAGTAAATCTCAGAAAGGATAAGGAGAATGACCAGGCAATGAATGCCTGACCTACTCACATTAAAGAACTCTGATTACTGGTAAGTAACACTGATCTCAGTATCTCTCATTAAATACATCTATGGTGTTTTTGAAAGAAATCTCACAAAATTTTAAGTCAGGCAAATTTCCATGTGTAGATGTATCTGTTACTGTTCCACCCTCTTCATTCAGTTCCACTGATTAAGTCTCAAGGCACAGCTGCTTTTGTTTTGCCCAGCAAGGTATCATAAAAATGAGACAAAAATATCCTCTCAATAACAGCATGAGACCAAGAGATTGCAGAGGAAAACAAGGTCAAATGAAAACAAGTTCCACAGTTTTCTGAAAGAAAAACACACCACCTTTAAGTGTAGCTATTCTGAGGAACAAATGCAGAACTGATAAAAAAAAAAAAATCTCTCACACACAAGAACTAAATCCCCCCCTTTAAAAGTTTTAAGAATACTTCATCAATTCAATACAGAAACATTTTCAGCAGCCAACTTATTTTTTCCAGTAAATCATTATTTTATTAAAACCTAATGGATTATACTAGAACTAATAGGCCCTAAGATGATGCTAAACTATTTAGACAGAATGCCAAGACTTTTGACAATTTTCAGCATTCTGAATTCAAATATCCTGCCTCATTTTACTTCTAGTTCTGAAGAAATATGCTTTTTATTAAGCAAAATTTGAAGCAGGACAAGGAAGCCATAATTCATTTCCAAATGAAAACCTCAAAAGAAGAAAAAGGTTTCATGAAGATCCATCAGTCGTATTTTACCTTTTGGGTTTTTTTTTTGTTCTGGGCTTGATCCAACCCATAAATTTTGGATTAGTTGTGTCGACAAAGTAATGGAAAACTCAAATGTGCTTCAAGTTCCTTGTTGATAATTACATCAAGACAGCTTTTCCACAGGGAAAACAGAGTAAGATTACTCCGTCTGTCCCTCCAGAAGCAACACGTACTAATTGTTTACTATAAAAGACAAAATGTTCGGAGATTACATTCTGAATGTAGTCACATACTTCCTTCAGCTTTGTTTCCATGTTCTGGACCTCTCCTGAAGATCCCATGTGTCAAGTATGCACTGTATAATGGATCAAAATTTTCCATGTGTTCATCGTGAGTTCAACCTCAGGTTTATGAAATAGGTTTTCTGAGGTATCAGTGAACTTTTAATAAGAAGCCACTGTATCAAACTTTATCGAAAGCCAGATCAGCATAGCTCACCCAGAATTTGTAAACATCTGGGATTTTGCATGTGCTTTAAATCAGAGTTAGGTGTTACTTTTATTAACAAGAAATCTAGAGTACAATGATTGTCCAGATATAAGAAATTAAGATGATTGCCAGAAAGAGTTTTCCACACTTTTTAACAAAAAACCCCAGAAAACAGTCTCAAATACAACTTCTACTCACATATACACACTAGTTCACATTCTTTCTTTTTGTTAATGAGTTCCTCACTAATTGGTAAAAATATGTATTTTTAGCTGTTTTTTACTTATTTTTAACATTAGACCAAGCCTGACTCAGTAACAATATGTATTTTTACTTTTTCCTCAGCCAGAGTACATCCTTAATAAAGTTCTTATACAGCTAATTTCAGTGGTGGAGCTGGCATAAACAAAGCTAATAGCTTTACTGTTAAATTCAGGCCAGCACTTCTCATTTGTATTGTATATGCAATAAGCAATCATAGAATCATTAAGGCTGGAAAAGACTCCTGAGATCATTGAGTCCAAACACTACTTTAACACTGCCAAGTCTGTCCCTAAGCACCACATCTATATGGTTTTTGAATACAGTGATCACTCTGCTTCCCTGGGCAGCCTATTCCAATGCTAGACCACCCTTTTAGAGAAGAGTTTTTTCCTAATATCCAGTCTGAACCTCCTCTAGGACAACTTGAGGCCATTTCCTCTTGTCCTGTCACTGTTGGCTGGGAGACTGACCCCCACCTGGCTACAGCCTTCTTTCAGGTGGTTGCAGAGAGCAATAAGGTCCCTCCCGAGCCTTCTTTTCTCCAGGCTGAACAACCTCAGTTCTCTCAGCTGCTCCTCATAGGACTTTTGCTCCAGACCCCTCACCAACTCCAATGCCTTCTCTGGACATGCTCCAGCACCTCAGTGTCTTCCTTGTCCTGACTGGCACAAAACTGAACAAAGGATTCAAGGTGCCAAGTATAGAAGGGCAAACACTTCCTTACTCCTGCTGGCCACAGTACTTCTCGTGGCCTTATTAACCCAACAAATTTAAAAATTAGAATTTAGATGTTGTATTTAACTTGCTAGAGTCTGTAGTGCCAAATTTATCTCACTGCTTTGTTACTTCAACTTACAAACAATACATTAGCTAATGCTAAAGAAACTTTACATTCTAAAAGTTGAAATATTTAATTCACAGCTTAACATTAAAGCCCATGGTCTGAAATTCACAAACTGGCAGATATTACATAAATAGGTAACTTTAATATGGAATGGCAGACATCAACTCATAAGCAAAGAGCATAAAGAACTTTTAGAACTATTTTGTCAGAAAGCCCACCAAGATAACTGTGTCAGTTATCCCACTGCTCAGTGGCAAAATCATGTAAGATGACCAACACTGAAAGAAGGAAATAAACATATGTGCACATATGAAGCAACACAAAAAGCATTTTCTTTCAAGACATTTAGTAGCATCCATCTTTACTTCTTATACCCTGCCTTCATTCTATTATCAGTATGGCCACATAAGTGACATTCACAATTCACTTAATTTCTGTATTTCAAATCTCATTGTCTTACTAACACAAATTAACACACCAAAAATAAAAGTCTATTTGTTTCTTCTTTATACAGAATAAGCCACTCTCATCAAAAGAGGCATTATCATATTCTAAAGCAGTAAAAGCCAAGGAAGACTCTTCCCCAATTTTCTTTATTAATTAGCTTTGCTTATTGTTAGGTAAGATTGAGATCTTAGCCAAAAAAACCTTCAAACTGGATAGCACAAACATCTAATTAACAGTAGTTCTTGGACTGGGACATTGTTTCAAAGGAAGAGTTTTTAAGGAAATCAGAAAATCATACAGATGATAATTAGTCAGTCCCACCTGAAAAATAGAAAGGTATTTGCAATACAATGATTATCCTTAGAGATTATGGATCTAGGATCTGTTACAAATGGAGCAGAAAAATAGTTAAAGGTTAGACTTCACTAAAAACTAAATAATCTTTTAAAAATCACATTAGCTGCCCTTACCTTAAATTCATTCTTGTCCTGTAAGTCAGAGGTAAAGAGCCGTAACTTCCTATCAGAAGCTGCAGTACAAAACCTACACTCAAGAGACAAAAAAAAAAAAAAAGCCCTTCAGTCAATCAACATTGCAATAGTTGACTTTTTATCAGTTTTCCTTCATTTTAAAAATGCAAAGTGAGATGCAAAGAAAAAAATCAGATTTTGAAAAAAACCCAAAAGCATCTATCTTTTCTGCTTTGGCAACAAGCAGAATTATATATAACTGGAGCTCATGTGTAAAATAGTGTGCATAAAGTGCCAAGAATACTTATTCAGAGAAAGAAATGCAAGACATTTTACAAAGCTAAATCTGGATCAATTACCAATTACCTGAAATATCTCCCGTAAATGCTGCTGAAACTTTAATTGGAAGATGTTAGGTAGGGCACAAAAAAACCTATCTGCTTTATGAGGGTTTAAAAATACTGAAATATAAAATTCATAAACCAATTTCTAATCAACATATTTTAACCCAAAAGACTGTACAAAAATGGAGTAGTAAGCAACTATGGTAATTTTGAAGAATCAAGCAAACTTGAGTATATTTTAATTCAGAAGTTCACATTTAATAGCTAAATATCTTTCTGGATTTTCTAGATTTACACCTCAATGGCTCTCACAAATAGTATCTAACCTACATTGAAACACAACACACATATTATGCAAATAAGTATAAATAGCTTTATAAAGGAGGCCATTCAAATGATCTCACATTTACTAAAGCTCTTAAAAGAAATGCTTCTTCACAAAGAACAAAGTACAAAGAATGAAACTATGTCTGAGGTCCATAAAAATAATGAAAAAAATGTTATTTACTGCTTGTTCACTGGGATAGAGTCAAGGGGCACAAGAAGTAGGGCAACAAACAAGCAAAATGAACAAAAAAAACCAAACTGTAAGAATAAAAATGCTCAACTGAAAAATTCAGAGACTTCATCAGTGATTTCTAAGGAGTTAGATTTCACTCATAAGCTTTCAACAGTCCAATACTAAGGACTTAGGGAAAACAGGTAAGAGACAGGATTCACTGTAGCTGTTTATTGTTAAGTACCTTATCTGGGGAGGTATAGCATCAAGCCTAGTTTCAGGACTCCACGCTATGGCATCAACTCTGATTCCATGGTGAAATGTTCTTAGTGTCTTATATTGTATGCCTTCCACTTCTGCATCCTCCTCCTATAGAAATATTGCAGTTAATGGTTCATAACAAGGTCTTGGTGACTTCTAACAAATCATATTGCTATAAAATGAAAAGGCTTTCAAAATTGCAGATATTGGGATCTTTTCAGATCAAAACACCTTCAAAGTGAAAACTTGGAACATAGAGAAAGCAATAACTTGAAATATTTAAGTACTTAGAAACACATTAAATGACTGCAGTCTCAAGTCAGAGTCCAATGAAGAGCAGAAAAATCAGAACTGAGCTATGAAGATGAGCTCATTCTCTGTACAAGTAATATCTTCAGAGATACAACTAAAGCCACTTAAAACAGCATGGGAATTTAACACACACTGCAGTGAGAAGAAGCAATGCAAACAAAAACAAGCATGTAATTCAAGCTGTCTTCTCTCTGAGTTGTTTTTACACCATGGAAAAATGCTGCCACTTCCAGAGCATCACTCTTCAAACAGCAGGAGATAAAAAGGTGCCCTTTGTCATCTAATCATCATTACGAGCTTGCTTATTCTTACCACCGGTAAGAACACCAGATAACAGGAAAAATAAAACAAGAGTTGGGATTATGGACTCCATCAATAAGTTGACCTCTAAAAAGCTTTTCCAAGCTTTCAGAACATCCAATGGAGCACCTCAAAGGATATTCCTACACAATATTCTCTACGTCACAATTCTGCTTTAAGGTAAAGAACCTCTTTGAATGCCCTCTACATAACGTAGAGGCCAAGCAGAACCTAGCTGAGGATGCATGAAATTACCCACAGTTTTTCAATGCTTCTCAACAGGAACAAAGAATAACATTTTCCTCTCCTACTCTGAAATACTCATTGACTCCACATGTGGAAGGGAGGATATGAAAATTATAGAGAATACACCTTGTGCCAGTGGTTGTCAAAATTTTAATTACTTCCTTTTCAAGGCCTACACCAGAAACAAGGTAGAGAGCAACACAAGTGTCAGTAGATTTTTGTGGTTAGCACTAGGTGCTCTTCAGAAAATTTCCAACAGTAAGACCATGGGGGATAACAATAATAATAATAAAAGTATCAGCTGCGCTATTATTCATAATAGATGAATTATAAAAATAATGTTGTATAATAAACCAGCAAGATGAAGGAAAAAAGCTTAGAAATCCCAAGGAATTGTCTCCAATTGATTGTCAAACATCTAGGCAAAAAATCCCATCTAATGAAAAACATTTTATCCAGTATAAAAATATACAATACTCAGTATTTTGCATTTTAAATTTTTTCACAATATAAGTCTAAATAACTTCATGGTAAGAAATTTTACTGTTTCCAACAGTCTGTGAGGGAGATCCAATAAAAACAATTGGGAGGAAAAAAGCCCAGGTAAGTATTTCTACAATTCATCCCTAAAAAGAAAAACCCATAAAATTAGCACAGACGTATCAGTGGGTATTTTACTTTTTTTTTTTTCTTGAAGAACAAGTATCCTAGACTTGTTAGTGTCATAAACAAGTAAAATTCCCCCTCGTTTACCACAGGGAGAGGAGGAAACAAGAAAGTGACTAGAGCAAAAACAATGATAACACACACTAACCTGAAATCTGCAAGTCCCAACAACCACGTAATTGTTGCCACCATAAGCAATGAGGGAACATGAATCTCCGCTGTCAAATGGATTGAATTTTACCACATGCACATAATCCTCACAATCCACAGTGTAAGAAATGTTTCTAGTAGAATCTTGCTTCATTTTCAGTGAACTAAGTCAAGGTAACACGGAAGTGATGTCTTCTCCAGGACAAAAATATCTACATTCCTACACAAAAATTTAAAAAAGCACAGATGACTCATTTGCATAAATAATAAATAACGACAAGAAACAATACATCACGACCTTCAAATTCTCTTTACAGACTGTGTGTCTAACTAAAAACCGAGTTAACTAAGTTTGCAAAATTGTAAATGAAAATACTGTCATGCATTCAACCAGTTTTCATGAAAATCAGGTTTCTGTGCTAGAACACAAGAGGCCAAGATACATAATTGATTTCAGAATGAATTCCTTTTAGACGCAGTACAGATTTGACATTCGTTTATGTCTTTTTGGGAAATCAGATCTTTAACTACACCCCATGTGGAAAACCAGCTTGAAATCTCAGACCTTTGACAGATTTTGATGTATAAGGGATATGAAGGTTTCAGCATCCAAGACCGAACATTTTGCCTGGAGCCTGTCAGGTTTGAGAGAGGCATCACTCAAACATGGAGAAGCTCTCGATAGCTGTGTGTTTATTTATTAATTCATACAACAAACCACCATACTTTACCATAAATACTTTAGCCATCCATATAACTTGCACAGCTTTGCTCCTAACGCCAAATGCAAGTTTTAACCCTACCAGAAGTTTTCTTCCTCCAAAGCTTCCCATGAACACAAGCCATGACAGAACCTTAGAATGTTAAGGGGTTGGAATGGACCTTGAAGATCCCGTAGTCGCAAACCTCGCTGCCATGGGCAGGGATATCTCCCATTACACCAGGCTGTCAATGCCTCATCCAGCCTGGCCCTGAACACTGCCAGGGTTGCGGCATCCACATCCTCCCCGGGCAACCTGTTCCAGGGGCTAACCATCCTCACCGTAGAGAATTTCTTCCTCACATATAACTAAAGCTTCCCCTCTTTCAGTTTGTACCCATTGCTCCTCCTCCCACCACTACAGTTCCAGACGAAGCCCCTCCCCGGCTTCCCTGCAGTGCCACTTGGGATGCTGGAAGGTGCTAGGAGCTCTCCACGCGTGCTTGTCTTCTCCAGGCTGATCAACCCCAACTTTCTCAGCCTGAATTATCTGTCACCAGAACAGCTTAAAAACACCAAGAGTATTACTACCTTCATTTCTTTAGGAAACGCAATTAGGGCAACCGAGCCGCGTGGGTGCGCGTTACCTCCCCCCCTGCATGCGCATCCTTTGCCCTCCTACTCCCTCTTTTCCCCTTCAAGACCCAGCTGCTGCTCCCCAGCCACGCTGCCCCAGTTCCGGCGGGCCGGGGGTGGCCCAGCCCGGCCCCACACGCACCTCCGCGCCTCCCGCACCGGCCGCGGCTCCCGCCCCGCCGTTCCCCGGCAGCGCCCGCCCCCGGGCGGCGGGAGCGCCGCGGCTGCTTCCGGGGCAGGGGCCCTGCGCCCATTGGCCGCGCGCCGCGTTTGAACGGCAGCGGCAGCGCCCAGCCCTGCCGGCCCGGCCCGGCCCCGCCAGCCCAACCTGGCCCGGCCCGGCCCCGCCGCAGCGCTCCGGGACCGCGCTGAGGGGACGGCAGCGGGGCCTTGGGCGGCCGCAGCCGGGAGCAATCGGCGGCAATGGTAATGCCAATTGCAGCTTGTGGGAGTTAGGGGCGGCTTCGCAGAGATTTGAACTTGTTCGGGCTGTTGGGAGCGACAGGTGTGGTCCCTCGGGAAGCTTTCAGGGAGGGCAGAAAGAAAAGGCTCCGGAGAGGTTTTTTTTCTGCCCCACGCTAACGTGCAGCCCACCTGTTTCATCCCCTGTGACTCCCATATGGCATTTACATTATAAAACGGGTTGTCTTTTTCAAACATTTTGGAGAGTGCGAACTTGCTGTTGCAGTCGTGCTTGTTTCCCGATGTCTTCTGTCCTCCCTGCCCCTTGCCCACGATTCCTCGCTTTTTACAGTCCTGCCAATAACGCAAAAAACAAACGCGGTGTGGGCTCTGCCTCAGCTGTATGGAAAAAGATCAAAGGTTGAGTTTTGTCTTCTGGAAGTAAACGGGATGGGTATTGCCCCTGTACTGTCAGTGCATTGTTAGGGAACTTCGTTTCAGAAAAAAAGTTTAAAGGCAAACTTGTACTACATTGTCACGTACCTTGTTTTGACAAATGCAAGAAGGTGAGACCAAAGCATGAAGTAGTCTGATTATTGACAGAGAATGTAATGGCTTCTTGAATTTACAACCCACGAATTAAAAAAAAGGTAAAAGACTATATCAGTAACAAAGGTGTTTAGAGTTGTCTGTGTTAGTAAGCCTTAGAAATATTAAATCTCTTTTTTCCAGGTTTAAAACATCCTCATAGACACTCATCTGAATGAATAGCGAAAGCAGAAAGTACTGAATACGCTCTGAGGCTGCTTTTGGAGACAAAGACTCATATTTGTGATAACATTCCTTTATGTTGGCATAATGTACAAGGAAAGTCAAGGCTTCATGAAGGCGTGACATACATAAGCACTTTTAACTCCTGATCTTCACAATTATTCTGTCACCGTGAGGCAAGTCTGGTTTAGTTGGAAGAGTTTATTCTAGGAACTTGGTCTTTAAGAAGATACAACTGGGTTTGCACAGCTTGTTGGGAGGTGAAGACTTGCATATGCCTCTGGCCTAGTTATATTCATTTTTCTCTTGATTATCTGTCTTCTATTCTGGACAATGGTTTCTTTCCAGCAAAAAATTTTACACGTGGTCAAGTGTTTCAGAAGACAATGGCCTTTATTTTCCAACTCTGAAAGGACTACTGTGTGTGGAGCAGACTGCATGTTGATGGCGTTACAACTGTCCATGGCTGAAGTCAATAAACAGGTTAGAATTCTTTTCAGTATGTTCTTGGTACACCTCAGACTTGGTTCCCTGGCGGCACTTAGTGCTTAGGCACCAACTTGAAATTACTTTTTTGGTCACTTTGTTGCTGTTTGTTAAAACAAGGTGTATCAGAGGCCAGGTGCTGCAAGCCAAGAAAATCAATATGATTAAGTACACTATTGAATCAGGGCTTAGAAAGAGGAACTGCAAGAGAGATGGGGGGATGGAGTGCTTTATGTGTACATTTGAGCACCAAACTTTAAACACGAGTGTATTTCTGCTGACCATGTAACTTCTATTTTTTATCATCCAATGTTTCTTCTGTGCTGTGGATCAGGGTGGGAGAACTGTGGCATTCAGGGTTCGTTTTTTCTTCTGCGTGCCCTGAAAATGTTTTGGAGTGACATGTGAAGATCATGGGTATAAAACTAATCTGGTGTAGTCTGCGTGAGTTGTACCTGCCACATTCCATTCTTGGCTGCTCCTTTTTTTTGTCAGACACTCATCAGGTGCAGACCTATATGTACATGTAAGTTGTGAGTATGTATCCACTACTGGTAGGGATTATATGGCTTTCTCTGTGTGTGTACATGAAGTGTCTGTCAAGTGGTGAAGAGGATCTGCAACCCTGAAGTGTCTCTGAAAGAAGTGCTATGGCTTTATCCAAGCTGGAGGATGTCTGAAACATACCATAAACAGTTGCAAGATACAACCAGGCCTTTGCCTGTGTCCCATCTAAGGAGAACTATTGCAATACTTGTTTGATAACCTAAAGATACCTTTTTAGGTCAATTAACCTAATTATTGATGAAAACAATACTGACTGTTGTTGGAAGACTTACTCAAGTGTTGCGTAGTAAGTCAAACATGTAGTACAAAGCTTTAGTTTAAGAAAACCAAAACATACCAGAAACAACAGAACCACATCCAAGTGAAATCCCTAAGCCAATAAAAAAACCAACCAAACAGAAAACCTGATTTAGTTTGTGCATCAGAAAAAAATTTGTAGTCTACAATGTGCAGATTGGGGGGTATCTCTTGTCTTACCATTAAATATAAAATTGGTTAAATCATCCTCCACTGTCAGAAACATTTCAGCAAAGATGCTAGAATCCCAGGATAAGACATTTGTACTTCACAGAATGTAGTATATTCCAGCTAGGGGCCTGGTGTCCTCAACAATACCAGTGTAGGTAAAATGAGAAAATTAGTCTGCATCAAAATTAACTCTTGGAGAACTGATAAGACAATGATGCAAAACTACCTAGGGAGCAGGTGACTGTTTGTCATGTTTGTTATGATTCCCAAGGCAGAACTATGACAGTTTTCCAAAGCCAGCTCTGGAAATTGTGGTGCTCCGTTGTGTGCCAAAACTTACAGACATGAAAAGGTTATGGTTCATTGCTCCCTGTTTTCCTTACAATAAGTTTTTCCCTTCCACTAGAGGTAATTAGTTTATTCTACTTTTTCCTTTCTTTTCCTCTTCCAGATACTGTTCCTCTCTTCCATAAATATCTTTTCTTTCAGAGATGATATGACAAAAGTTACAGCAGTTATTTTCAACTAATTTAATTTTGAAATGTTTAGCTTAGCTTCTCCTTCAGATCTGAAGAAAGAACAAGTTTTCAAAAACCTGATTTGTTTTTTTCTGGTTATACTAGTTGCTCTAGTAAGACAAATCTTGGCTTGCATATGCGGATTAAAACTAATTTAGCATTTATATGTGCTGCCTCTGAAGCAAAACTTCTTTAGATGGTATGCATTTGGGATTCTTGAAGCAAAATATGTCTGGTTTATTTTGTTGAGAACTGAAGCTTCAAACTAAGATGCAGAGTATAAAGTTGTAGGCATATCCCTTATTAAGTTTGATTTAAATAATTAAATAATTTAAATAATTTAAATTATTTAAATTATTTAAACAATAATTTTGAATTGTTAACACCTGTGGAATGGAAATTTACTTTAATAAAATCAATTACTGCAATAAAAATAATTTCATTAATAGGCTGTGGAGTGGCTGTATTGAGAAAAACCCAACACATCCAACCTATCACAAACAACCAAAATACACTTGTCTTCCTTTAGAAGCCTAGACAATTTTAATGGATTTGTTGTTTTAACTGGTAGCTATATCTGCAGTGGAAATGAAAAATAATGAAGCTTTTTGGAGAACTCTAGGAAAGTTTAAAAGCTTCATAATCTATTAATCTTAAATTTCACGAGAATAAGGGTAGCAAAAGGGTGATAAACCCTGATCAAACAGCAGGGATGAAAGGTAAAAAAAAATCTGTACTTTGAATCGCTCTGAAAATACTTTGGTTTGTAGCACAGTTGTACCATGTGGCATAAAGACAAGTAGCGTAAGGTCTATGGTGGAAGCAAATACCTTTCACCTGATTAATCAGTATAGATCTAAAATACATTTTCAAGGAGAAGAACCTTCCTCAAGGTTTGAAATAGTAATAACAGTTTTCAAGATGAAGTTCAGCTGTAATTGCTTTAATTTGACTGGCTGTACCTGTGGATCAAAAGGGGGTTATTAGGTCAAATAATCACCTATCGTTTTCAGACTATGGCTATTTTAGCTAGTGGCATGGGAAACTGAGGTGTATAAAACAGTTATTTTTCCAGAATCTGCGAGTTTAATTTGTCAGACTTAAATGCATTGTAAATCTCTTATTGAATGAGAGCTTTGATAGTGGAAGAGAACCTGCTTCATTTTTGATTTTGGAAATATATCTTCCCTTTATAAATTTGTGTTTGTATGTTTCTGATA